GCTGGAATGGTATACCTTTATACCTGCTTCATTCCTCAAAATTCTTTCGATTTTGTGTGAAGCCGGGCCAATGTATGGTAGACAAACAGACGACTGATACTCAATCTTCTGCTGTATACTTTGTGGCGTTTTCATAGCATTATCTATGAAATGCCGTGGGTAACCATTCGTTTTTAGAACATTTCTTAAATGTTCTAATTCATTGTCAACGTTACTTACCTCACAAATTGTTTTCGCTCGGTTGATGAGTGTCTTACACACAGAGTTTTTGATACTAGGATGATGAAATGAATTATAATGCAGATACCTGTCTGTATGTGTTGGTTTCCTATAAACCTTATGTCCTAGCGATCCATCATCATGTATAGTGAAAAGAACATCTAAGAACGGTATAGTTTTATCATCCTTCTGTACTTCAAAAGTAAACTTGATCGATGGATGCAAACTATTAATGTGGTCTAGAAACTTTTGTAAATTATCTAGTCCATGAGACCAGCTACTCAATGTATCATCCACGTATCTGAACCAGAAACCTGGTTTCAACTTTGCAGTAGCTAAGGCCTTCTTTTCAAATTCCTCCATGAACAAATTAGCCATAACAGGCGACAATGGACTTCCCATTGGAGCGCCGTTTGTTTGTTCATAGAATTTCTCCCGCCATTGAAAACATGTCGTAGTCAAACATAGTTTCAACAAATCATGAACATTCTCAGGAGAAAGATTAGTTCTTTGAGATAATGTAATATCTGAAAGAAGTCTTTCTTTCGCGATATTACAAGCCTCTTCAACTGGAACATTAGTGAACAAGCTAACTACGTCAAAACTTACCAGAATGTCATTCTTACCCAATCTAATTTGTTCCATTTTTGTCACAAATTCTTTAGAATTTACTACATGATGATCTGTTTTTCCAACAACTGGTTTCAATATCTCAGCGAGATATTTAGCCAGGGCATACGTTGGCGAACCTATGGACGCTACAATAGGTCTTAGTGGGACATTAGGTTTATGTATCTTGGTTTATGTATCTTTATATCTCTTTCATTATCTTTATGTTTCTTGTATCTTGGTTTATGTATCTTGTATCTTGTTTTATGTATCATTAGGTTTATGTATATTGTAGCGTCCATAGGTTCGCCAACATATGCCCTGGCTAAATATCTCACTGAGATATTGAAACCAGTTGTTGGAAAAACAGATCATCATGTAGTAAATTCTAAAGAATTTGTAACAAAAATGGAACAAATTAGATTGGGTAAGAATGATATTCTGGTAAGTTTTGACGTAGTTAGCTTGTTCACTAATGTTCCAGTTGAAGAGGCATGTAATATCGCGAAAGAAAGACTTCTATCAGATATTACATTATCTCAAAGAACTAATCTTTCTCCTGAGAATGTTCATGATTTGTTGAAACTATGTTTGACCACGACATGTTTTCAATGGCGGGAGAAATTCTATGAGCAAACAAACAGCGCTCCATTGGGAAGTCCATTGTCGCCTGTTATGGCTAACTTGTTCATGGAGGAATTTGAAAAGAAGGCCTTAGCTACTGCAAAGTTGAAACCAGGTTTCTGGTTCAGATAAGTGGATGATACATTGAGTAGCTGGTCTCATGGACTAGATAATTTACAAAAGTTTCTAGACCACATTAATAGTTTGCATCCATCGATCAAGTTTACTTTTGAAGTACAGAAGGATGATAAAACTATACCGTTCTTAGATGTTCTTTTCACTATACATGATGATGGGTCGCTAGGAGATAAGGAAACCAACACATACAGACAGGTATCTGCATTATAATTCATTTCATCATCCTAGTATTAAAAACTCTGTGTGCAAGACACTCATCAACCGAGCGAAAACAATTTGTGAGGTAAGTAACATTGACGATGAATTAGAACATTTAAGAAATGTTCTAAAAATGAATGGTTACCCACGGCATTTCATAGATAATGCTATGAAAATGCCACAAAGTATAAAGCAGAAGATTGAATATCAGTCGTCTGTTTGTCTACCATACATTGGTCCGGCTTCACACAAAATCGAAAGAATTTTGAGGAATGAAGCAGGTATAAAGGTATACCATTCCAGTGAAAACAAATTGTTTCGAGCACTATGCACACATAAGGACAACGTAAATGAATATCAGAAACCTGGTGTGTACCGCATTCCTTGTGAATGTGGTCTGGTTTACATAGGTGAAACTGGTCGAAATCTCTCAGTACGTCTTAAGGAACACAAGATGAATTGCGAGAAAGCCGAGCAAGATAAATCTGCTGTGGCTAAACATACTTGGACTTACGACCATCGTATAAAATGGGACGAAGCAACCATTTTGGCGATTGATAGTCATAAGTTCTCTCGCAAAATGAGAGAGTCAATTGAAATCGAGAAGCACAATACTATAGATCAGGAGGGAAAGCCACTAGATAGTACGTGGCGTGCTCTCTTAATGTGCAAAATTAATTTCTCTTGTCTTGGATGCGCGCGTTAATTGGAATCACTTCATTACGTTTGAAATGACGTGGTTGATGTGCCGTTTAATTCAATTTCAAATGACGTGAGCCAACAGATCACGACACTCTTGTATATAAAAGGAGTGTGTGAATTAAACAAGTCACATATTATTAGCACTGATGAAGATCCGGGCTTACGGATCGAAAGCTTTGCAGTAATAAATTTACGTGGTGTTTCCACAAACAAAAACAATTATATTTTATCGCCATGCAAACATTCAAAGAACTTAAATGAGTTAATGTCCCGAAGCTCAAAATCTCAAAATATTTCTTCTCTTTTAATAAACAAAAAAGTAGTCACAAACAATACTGAAATAGCTGAATGTTTAAACCAAATTTCTACCAATGGCAAAGCTTTTCATCATCATGTGCAACCAGCTGCCACCGGAACGATGTTTATATTACGCCCAACTACTTCGGATGAAGTTATTAAATTAATTTCCTCAATATCTGATAAGAAAGCTACAGGTCTAGATCAAATTCCGAGTAAATTACTTAAACTCTCTGCACCTATAGTTTCGAAATCATTGTGTGATATTTTTAATTTATCCATTCAAACAGCAATATTCCCTGATGACTGGAAATTGGCGAACAAACTCAGCCTTAATGTGACTAAAACTGAGTATATGTTCATTGGATCAGATCAAAATCTTGACAAGTTAAGAGATGTACCACTACTATTTCTTGAAAACAAAGCTATAAAAAGGGTCAAAGCAACCAAGTCATTAGGGGTACATATTGATGAAAGACTAACATGGCATGAACATATTCAAAATATTTTAAAAAAAGTAGGTGCTGGAATTTCAGGTTTACGGCGGGTAAGGGAGTTTGTCCCATTATTGACATTGGTAACAATTTATAACTCATTAATACAACCATTATTTGATTACTGCGATGTTGTTTGGGACAGCCTTCCTGCTGCTGGTGCTAGCATTCTACAAAAGTTGCAAAATTGTGCTGCTAGAGTTATTACTCATCAAGGTTATGATCATAGAATAAGAAATGAATAGAAGTGCCACTCAAGTCGGAACCTTTGATGTAAATGGCGCCGCACATGTCGCCTCGCGCATCTCGGCCGCCATCTTCCCAGCAAGTAAAAATGGAGGATTTTATATAGAGTTATTAGGGAGTTAACTGCAAAAAGTGGATTTTCAGCGACGATTTCCTTCTAAATTATCAAAAAATGAATGATTTGTTTAAAAAGAAGGTATGTGGTCTTATCTAGTCTTATTTACAAAGAATATTTAAAGTTTTGAAGCTGTAATTTAACAATTTAGTGCGGTGTTTTTTGTGACCGAGATACTATTCAAGTTAGATTTGAGTTATTTTTATATTTTTGTTCGTATTGCTACAAAATATATTCTTACATGAAAATTTTGTATTGCTTTACTTAATTTTGAAAGACATCATGTTATGTCATACTTTTTCTGGTTGGTGGTTTGCATATTAAATCCAACTTATCCAAGCACAATTTCAAGAAATACAAGAATGATATGTATTGTTGGAAATATGTAATTGGCTGGCTGATTAGTTGATATAAGTTGATCAGTACACTTTGTTTAAGTTTTTTCAAATTATTTAATATCCATTTTAGTTTAATATTAGTGATACTCATTACTGTTCTTGCATGCACTTTATATATATTTCTTTCTTTTTCAGTTTGAAAGATCACAGATGAAACAACTTCCATGATTTGAACAACTTCTACAAACATTAACTTTAATTGTAATGCAAAATGGGAATATTTTGTAATATGGAAATTTTTTGTCAATGTAGAATATGGTGACAAAATGTTTGTGATGAAAATGTCTTCTATAGTAAATCTAGTTGTTCCACATATCCAAGAAATTGTGCGGTTGTGCACACTTTTTTGCAGTTGTGAAAACTCACAACTGCAAAACCTCTACCTTTAAGCCTGAAAAGCACAATAGACATGCTTACGTCTCTTTCTTAATGGTTCTATTTGGCTGCTGAAGCATAATTTAATTCACAATTCAAATACACAATTTGTGCATATTTTCAGAATTCATAACTTCAGCTCCAACATTTCCATGGCAACTAGATATCGAACATCTCGGCAAAGGTTAGGCCATCAAAGCTAATGACTCAGCTTTATGATGTATAAAACCTTTGCAAAGACATGAAATGTTTTTTGAAGCTTTTCAAGATTCATTACCTCTGGCCAGGGCTAGGGGGGGCACCCCCTCTGGCCAGGGATAGGGGGTGCACCCCCCCCCCCAACACCCCCCAGTAAATCGACCCTGAATATTAATAATAACATGGATACAATACATACATTACATTATAAATATATAATACTAATGACAATTGCTGTGAAAGCACCACAACAGTTAAAATCAATTACTGTGGGCCTTTTAACGACAAACATCTAGAAACAGCAGTTAATAACATAGTTCAAACCAGGGGTGGAAAAAGTATCGGAACCTGGGAACCTAGTTCCCAGAAATTTTTTTGAGTTGAGAGTTTTGCAGAAAATTTTCCAGAAAATACTTCAACATTTTGAGATAACTCTGTTTACTCAATTTACTCTGTTTACTCAAATTTACACTGTACATGCTAACATCAGCAGCTTTTAAATATTTGACAGAAATTAATTCTTTTACCCACCCCTGCCATCACAATGACTGGTAAAATGGTAAATATATGCTCTGCAAAGTCTCCAATAGAATGCAAATTAAATAGTAAACAAATAAAAGTGATGGAATAAATAAGAGGATAGGACACTTAGTTAAGCGTTAGATCCTTAATATGATGTTTGTGATGTTACTCTGAGTGTGTATCCAGAACAGGCAAGCTTGAAAAATATGCCTGGCCACGGTGGATTAGATTACATTGATGTCGAAGGAACTAAACTCAGTTCCGAAATATCACATACTCGAACCGACCTGACCGCATAGCTCAGTTGGCAGAACATTGGGCTAGTAATCCAAATATCGTAGGTTCGATTCCCATCGTGGCCAGGCATATTTTTCAAGTTTTCCCGGTGTGGATATACACTCAATAGTAACATCACAAACATCATATTCACCTTAGTACATAACACAAACACAGAAAAAATCAAGATCCTTACTAGTTGGTCATAACTCATAACTGTGCTATATAACAGACAACTATTGTGATGTACAAGCGTACGAAAACCAGCCTAAAGCCCATTATTACTAAAGTACAAATAATACAATAATTATGCATTTGTTTTGTTATTTTTGTAATTGTAACATTACGAAATTTACAGAAAATTTTTAGCCTTCGACCCAGGTTCCCAGAAAGAAAAAATTTTTTTCCACCCCTGGTTCAAACTTCGACAACCTTTATAGTTTAAAGACAGGTTTCCATGTTCTTGCATCCTCTGCATCAATGCAGGGCTTTCGAGTAATAGTCTCCTAACAATCTCTTAAATGTATTTGTACTTTAAGAATGTGTTAGGTTCTCTTAAGTCTGCTGGAAGACAGTTTGTTACACATGAGAAATACAAGCTCTGGAAAGTGCTAGACAGAGTCCTGTGGGTGGAAGGATAAAATGTTGGTACCAGATGATCTGGTCATTCTTGTGGGAATTATGGGTTTGGGGACAACATCTTCAGATATGTCCACCATACCATTAACTGAAATGTCTTTGGGCTATCCTTCAACCAACTTGGCTACCAAGATGTATAGATCTCACATAAAATCTGTAATGCAATAATACACATTTCCTTTGTCCTGAAGTGTTGCACACAAATACGCCATGTTTTATGAATGTCAAACAAGCCATGAACCCAACTGACTCAATATTGTAAAAATTAATTTTGGGTGCCAATCAGCCCAATATGAAATAATCTCTTCTTTCCCTGAAATCAGTCCATTCCTCATACTGGTCATTGCCTCATTGGGTTCCATCAGCTATGTCATCAGTCAAAATGTGACACTGATACTAATATTCAACTTAACAATAACATTATACATCAGGCTACTGCTGTCAAATTTCTAGGTGTAATAATAGATCAAGAACTAACATGGAAAAACCATATAAACTCAGTTGTCAAAAATATTATTAAAGCATCGGCGTTGATTGCAAAAATACGACATTATACAAACAAAAATACATTAAATGTACTTTATTATGCATTAGTTTATCCATATCTTACTTATGGGAATTTAATATGGGGTAACACGTACCCAACAAGGCTGCTAAAAATACAGAATTTACAGAAAAAAATTATCAGATTGATGAACTTTAAATCTTATCTTGAACACACTGAACCATTGTTTCAAAAATTGAAAATCTTGAATATCTTTAAGATTAATGACTATTTAAGTTGTTTATTTATGTACCGTTTTAAACATTTACAAAATCTACCTGAATTTGTTAATGGCTACTTCATACAAAACAATGAAGTGCATCATTACAATACTCGGAATTCTAACAAATTGCATGTCAATTATAGTAGAACTAATTATGCAAAACATACTATTGTTAACAAGGGAGTTAAAATATGGAACTCTCTTGATAAAGGAACTAGCAATACTATGTTTTATTCTACTTTTAAGAAAAAGTTGAAAAGCCTTTTCTTGGAACATACCTAACGGCTTTCATTTGTAATCTCACATAATAAACTCTTGTGTATATTTATATTCAAATCGCTATATTTGTAAATACTCTTACTTTGTCTTTGACAAGATTGAACAAGCTTTAACTATTTTTATATAATAATTAATATTGTTAAACTAGGGGCCTTTGAATAAAAGCCTGA